AAGAAGAAGAAAATGAAAAGAAGAGAAGAAGAATGAAAAGAAGAATGAAAAGAAGAAGAAGAAGAATGAAAAGAAGAAGAATGAAAAGAAGAATGAAAAGAAGAAGAAGAATGAAAAGAAGAAGAAGAATGAAAAGAAGAATGAAAAGAAGAAGAATGAAAAGAAGAAGAAGAAGAAGAATGAAAAGAAGAATGAAAAGAAGAAGAAGAAGAAGAATGAAAAGAAGAAGAAGAAGAATGAAAAGAAGAATGAATAGAAGAAGAAGAAGAATGAAAAGAAGAAGAAGAAGAATGAAAAGAAGAAGAAGAATGAAAAGAAGAATGAAAAGAAGAAGAAGAAGAATGAAAAGAAGAAGAATGAAAAAAGAAGAAGAATGAAAAGAAGAAGAATGAAAAGAAGAGGAAGAAGAATGAAAAGAAGAAGAAGAATGAAAAGAAGAATGAAAAGAAGAAGAAGAAGAATGAAAAGAAGAAGAATGAAAATAAGAAGAAGAAGAATGAAAAGAAGAATGAAAAGAAGAAGAAGAAGAATGAAAAGAAGAAGAAGAATGAGAAGAATGAAAAGAAGAAGAATGAAAAAAGAAGAAGAAGAAGAATGAAAAGAAGAAGAAGAAGAATGAAAAGAAGAAGAAGAAGAATGAAAAGAAGAATGAAAGAAGAAGAAGAAGAATGAAAAGAAGAAGAAGAAGAATGAAAAGAAGAATGAAAAGAAGAAGAAGAAGAATGAAAGAAGAAGAAGAAGAAGAAGAATGAAAAGAAGAAGAAGAGGAATGAAAAGAAGAATGAAAAGAAGAAGAAGAAGAATGAAAAGAAGAAGAAGAGGAATGAAAAGAAGAATGAAAAGAAGAAGAAGAAGAATGAAAAGAAGAAGAAGAAGAATGAAAAGAAGAATGAAAAGAAGAAGAAGAAGAATGAAAAAAGAAGAAGAATGAAAAGAAGAAGAAGAAGAATGAAAAGAAGAATGAAAAGAAGAAGAAGAAGAATGAAAAGAAGAAGAAGAAGAATGAAAGAAGAATGAAAAGAAGAAGAAGAAGAATGAAAAGAAGAAGAAGAAGAATGAAAAGAAGAATGAAAAGAAGAAGAAGAAGAATGAAAAGAAGAAGAAGAATGAAAAGAAGAAGTATTCCAGTACAGCAAAAAGTGTATCTGCAGAGAGCTCCGCTATTTCTGACAGTTCTCTGACAGTTCCTTCACATTTACAGCGGTTGAAAACATTGTATCTATTTATTTCCGAATAAAAACATCTGTATCCTAAATGGAAACAAATAGATACAATGTTTCAACCGCTGTAAATGAACTGTCAGAACTGTCAGAAATAGCGGAGCTCTCTGCAGTGACACTTTTGCCGGCTGATCGGGAAAAATTCGATTCATGCACCCGAAGTTGGCTAAAATTCAGATTCGATGCGAATCGAATTTTTCCCGATATTCGAAACGAATTCCACTTCGCCTGGTTCGATTCGCTCATCTCTAGTTATAAAGATAAATTAATTTGTCAGACAAATGTACCCGCAGTTAAGGCCTGAGAGGAGGACATAAACTTTCATCTACTGTATCCCAACAATCACCGAACTGAAGGAGGTACAAGATGGAACCCACAACAAACTAAACTGCAGCCTCTCCCCTGCAGTGCCCCTAATGGCAGAAATGCATATTTCTCTGATTGGGAACTGCATTGAGAAGTACAGTGTTACTTGTATTTGTTCATCTTCAGCTGAGAGAACTTGCAATACTCTAATACTTTACATAAAGTCTCAGATATTTTTTATTAAAGTCTTAATGTTATATAGTTTGAATATCATGTCATAGATATAATATTAATCATTGTAAAAGCATCTTAGAAAAAAATTGAAAAACAATGTTTTTTCTATGTTTTTTCCAGGCCTTCCAATGCCTAGACAAGACTAGATTTAGTGAATCCTCTAGTAGTTCCTTAATATGGGAGTTGTAAAGCTGTGCAGTTGCAAGTTCACATTCTAGAGCTCTGTTAGATAATGAACATCTGTCACTGTATTGTTAAAGAATGCAGAGGTTGCTGTTTACACTGACTCTGTACCTTTTCACCACACATCCATTAATGGCCAAGATACACTGCTATTTGTTGATTTGTTTCTGTGCTTTTCTGTTTTTTTTTACAGTTTCTTCTACTCTTATTCTTTTGTTTTCTGAGCCATGTGTGCATATTTGTGGCACTTCATATAAATATTAACATGTTTCAACAAACTGTCCATTCACAATTTACAGTCTGACAGTCTTTCCAGGAGTACAGTTTTATCAATGCACTAGCTTTTGACTGCAATTGGCTTACACTGAGGTGTGGAGTTTTCAAGTTTGAGGCTTGGTTGGCAAGATTGTGCGCAGGGCTGAATATACACCTTTTCTTCCTCTTCAACTGTCTGTGCTCCTTCTTGACCCCATGCCAACTCTCAGCATACCTTCCTGCTCCTCACCTCCAACTCTTTGTACTCCTTTCTGTTCTCTACTTCACCCCTGTCCATCTCTATGTGCCCTCTCCAGCCATCACGCGCCTCTCAACACCTCTGTCTGTACTTTAAAGGATAAGTTCACCTTTATACAAAAAATAATAAATGCACATTTTTTTGCAGGTAAAAAAATGTGCATTTATTATTTTTTGTTGCAGGAGCCTCTAAACCATTGCACCAGCGATCAGCAAATCACTGGTGCCATGCAGGTCTCCTGCAGATCTGTCAGTATATCTGCTTACCTCTATGGAATGTACGGAACTCTTCTGGAACAGCCTCTAACGATGTCGGGACTAGTAGTTTCTCATTCACAGAACACAGTAAATGAAATGTTTTTTTTTTTTTTTTCAATTTGACAGCTAGTGGTGGTGGTGGTGGAGGGGGTGGGGGGATTCTCTGCTAGATGCCAAAGCAGGGGGAGTGTGGGTTGATGCATTCATAACATGTTACATGTTACATCCTGAATATGGGTGTAACATGTTATTAAAGGTGAACTTATCCTTTAAAACAACCTTCTGATCTAGCTGATCCTCTTCTCTTTTAGTTTTTCCACCGTGTAGGCAGGTGCAGGCTGTGCTCTCTTTGTAGGTGGCACTGTGCTGTGTGGGGAAACTCAACTCTATTATCTCCTTCAGTCACCTGGATCACCTGTCCATCTTGGGTAGGGCAGAACTTATTTAAGTCCCTAACCCCCAGATTTAGTGCACATTGTGCGAGTGGGTAGTGTAGGGATCCTAAGGGAGCTCCTGTCTGTTAGGGACAGTACTAGTGGCAGGGAAAGGTTCTGGAGGAGTAGGGAAATCGCAAAAACTTCATTATCTCCTTAAGGAATCTTCTCATTTGGGTTGGACCTGGGCTTGTTTGTACCTTGTTGGAACATTTACAATACACAGTTCACATTATTCAGCCTATGTGTGATCGGTGGCACTGACACACCATGCTGCACCCTGCTCCCAACTGTGTCATATTCTAGGAGTAGCTGGATGAGTTGAGAGCATAGGACACAGCACCTTCCTGCTCTCTCCCTTCCCAGCTTCCAGACTTGTCTATCTGCTTCAATTACTATCGGACAGTAGTAGTGATACTATGGTTACTTCTGTCAGTTTAATAATGGGCAACAAAATTCTTGTGGCCCAGAGACCCAGCAAGAACACTGATTAGCAGGAGTCTCCAGCCAAGATCTGGAGACTTCTTAGCTAAGTGTCCTCATTACAGGTTCTCTTTTGGAACAGACAGAATTACTATATAAAACTTGTAGTTCAAACTCAACTCCAGCCAAATTTTTATGTGCAACAAAACAATTTCTGCAGTAAAATGAGAAGAGTTAGAATCTCTGCTATTACTATTTTTGACTTCTTGTTCTGGTGATTTCTGATACCCCTTGTTTTTTGCTCAGCTGTCATTGGAACAGGAAGTGAAATTTCCTTATAAGGGTCAAGTACAGCAAAAAAACCCCAAAAAAACAAAACAACAAACTAGCAAAATTGTATTTACTATTCTCAAGCCTATCCAAAAGCTACACTGGATGGACTTGGACTTTAATCAACAAGACTTTAGAGTATGGCTGGTGTAATGTCTTAATTCTAGTGATTAAAAAAACAGTGCATTTACGTAGGACATTCTGCATCATCTTTTATTATCATTATCAATATATAACCTTTTTAGTATTTATTTGAATCTGTAGTTACGCATCTTAGAAAATGCACTGTTTGTGTTTGGTATAAGTTGTTTTTGTGACTCTGCATCTCATATTGATTAGTGAGTGAATACCAATAAAGCTTAGTTATTTAACCTTGTCATACATACCCTTTAATCTCTAGATGAACACACATATAAACTCTATTCAAGGAATGTGATCTGTAGAGGCAGTATGTACCCTGCACTTGCAATGATAATTGAGAATAAAAAAACAACCACATGGGGGTGCCTAGAGTCATTCACTTGTAGCATTACATTAAATACCTACATAGTGTTGAAATGGCAAGAATTGTGGGTGATTGGATATACAGAAAAATGAGACCGCACTTTTTGAGCTATAATTAGTGACACCACTGAATAACATTTAACATTCTATTTTACCACATCCAAATAAGCTTTTTGATCTCAGCTCTTACTATCTTAAAAGAAAAGTTTGGCCAAAGCTCTTTTGGTCATACTTCACTTTTGGGTCACAGGAGTGAATTTATTTCTGCACTCCTGAATCTGTAGCCCAGATTCAGCCAACAGTGGACTAAAGCCAACACAGAGTGATGTTGGGATCCACCCAGATGTTTCCCTGGTTTTAGAAAGCATTCATGTAAAACATTGTAATGTTTAATACTACTTTAATCACATTTGCATAGAATGTAAGACTATCAATGAATTCACTAAAATTATATTGATAGCTTTCCTGCTTATTGACATCTGTAAAATATATTGAATAAATTCATCCCATTACTATAACGTGATGTATATGACCAACTTTGGTATGCAATATTTTGCTGCAGCTAAGAAATTAAACTCAACTTAATAAAGTGTTACTAAACCCACAACAGTAAAATCAGTCTGAAAATGCAGTAAAGCATGCTTGTTATACTCACTGTGGAAACTAAGAGGTTAATCCTCTGCATTGTGTAAAAAGACCATTTGATCCTGTCTTCTCTGCCCCACCTCTTGTTCATACAGTATGTCCATGTCTCATCTCCTGATAAGACAGACTGAGCCGTAGCCATTCTGCACATGCTCAGTTTAGTATGTATTGCTAGATAGCTTTTTTTTTTTCTTGGGAGAGTGCATGTGATCAGCACAGGGCCAATCAGCACTGTCCAGACAGAGGTCAGAGGTTTTAAATCCTCCTAGAGCAGAAAGAAAACTCCTCTTGCTAGCTTTAAACAGTGCTCTGCTGAACACTGATAGAAGTCACAAGACTGCTATATACTGCTGATGGGAAAAGGTATTTAGCAGTTTATATTTACTAAAATAATTGCACTTCCATGTTCTGTGTACTGTGGGAGACCAGATATAGTGAATGCAGGGTCCTGAGTTTAGTAACACTTAAGTGATACTTGTTGATGCAGCAAAGCAGAACCCCAGCCAAAAATCAGCAATAAAAAAATGAATAGCCCAATAACCCTTTTGCTGCCACCCACTTAAGGGTTATGTCAGTGGCAGCACCAGCACCAGCACCAGCATGTAGCTTGTTTACATTTATAATCTTAGCTGCTAGCTTTCACATAGAAGTGATTTGGGCAGCTGTAAAGCCACAGATTCACTTCTATACACACTCTCAAGTGAGCCAACCCCCCACCCATCCTCCTGCCATGTGTCTGGGGCTTACCTTTCTCTCCTGGGTGCCTGGGATCCATTCACTTATTCCCCTCAGTAGTTGGAACCTGGAATCACTCAACTCTCAGCATTTTCACTTTCAGAATTGTCAATCTCTTGTTGCTCTAGCCAATAACATAGCTTTAGCAGAGTGAGAACTGACCTTAGGGGTTTAATATACCAGTGATGTATCCTTAAAGAGAACCTGTCACCTGCACTATGCTATCACATAAGAGGGTTACCAGCCCCTTTGTGATAGCAATCAAATAAAAAAAAAAAAGAAAACATGTTTAAAAAATAAAGTGTAATAAAAAATAAATTAAAACGCTTCAAAAAATTATTAAGAACCCAACCCTGCCCCTATGCACATGCATATATGAATGCACTTGCGTATGAAAGTGATGACACACATAGTGGACTTCACCAGTGTGAGAGCAAAAATTCTATGACTGTTATAAATTGTTATCTCTAATTGATGACCTGTAAACTTTTAAAATTTTGCCTGTTGACAATTTTGGGTACGTTAGTTTTCTGCCATTTCATAGGCACATGCAATTTACAGGCTTGACATATTTGCATCTACAAATAAGCCCCTACTGGGTGAAACATGTCAGACGGGGTTCTCCTATGAATCAGAGGCCAAGCTGAAGCCATTTTTATTAAGGGTAGCTCACTATATGTTGAGGCAGTGTGCGGATGGGCACCATTTTGTTGTAGTCCTTGATGTGTCTGACGAGCCAGTATTCAACCTGATCAACACATGCAAACATTGTGGCTAGTCAGCTGGGATAACAGATTGTGGCATTTGAGTGATATCAGTTTTATTTGGCTAGACATATTTGTGTCACATACCTGATCGAGGTCGAGTTGACAAAAGAGCTGCTCTCATTTCTCAAGTCCAATACCACCTGGCAGTGGTAATAGGGTGTAAAAGTACAAGGAGTGGAATGGGTGCCTGTAGTGGATCCAGACAGCGATTGGTCAGAAGGCAATATGGGGTCTCCTGTGATTCTGAAGACACTCTGGTTAGATTTAGCATAGAAATTGGGAATGCAGGTCAGGTACTGGAACCCAGTGATACAGGTAGCAGAGACATAATCAGGACAAGCAGAGGTCAGCAACAGCCAAGGAGAAGAGGCATCATATCTACAGGTCATACCAGCAAAGACAAAATCATGGCCAAGGTCAATGCCAGATGGGCAGTAGAGGTACAAAAGCAGCAGGCAGAAGGTGGAGTCAGACCGCAAGCCAAAGTCAGTGGATCACATAATCATAATGTCTGGAAGCAAGCTGGGTCAAACACAGATTAGCAGAATGCAGGTCAGGTCATGGGTTACAAGAGCTGATGACCACTCAGGAACTTCTCCTCAGTGCGATGTTTTAAATAGTGTGATTGGCACCAAAGCCAGTGTCAGATTTGCCCACTTATTAACTCTATCGCACATTAGCATGCGCATGCTCATTGCCCTAACCCTGCGTATTGGGCCATGTGCTGTACTACACGCATGCGCAGATTATCAGAGACAGCCAAGCACCTGATTTTCCGGCAAATTTGGTATCTATTTACTTTGCACAACCTCATCTTTTATATTTTATTTAAAAAAGGGTATTAGATTGTGTTTAAGGGCATTAAAAATATTTTAAAGTGGTTCTAAAGCTTAAACTCTTTTTTACATTAATGCATTCCCTGCATTAGGGTAAAAATAATTTTGGCTTTTACTGGGCCCCCTTTCCCCTAAACACTTATCCGAGTCCTGTATTGATCAAGTGCTGTGCCCAGCTGCAGTTCTCTCTTGTCTTTCTTTTCTCCCAGATTGGGCAGCAGCATAAACCATTGGCTCCTGCTGCTGTTAGACAAATCCTGTGAGCAGAGAGCAGGGTTTGGGACCATCTACTTGACATAGGGGCAGACACAGAAGAGAAGAAGCCCAGATCGCTGGCGGGGGACCCCAGAAAAAGAGGTTCAGGGCCGCTCTGTGCAGAACTCATTTACACTTGTTTTGACTTTAACACACATCAAAGAGCCTACAGCTTCAATAATTTTTTATGTGTTTTTGATGCTTCTGTGATGCTTTGATGATGCTTTGGTGATGCTTTTTTGAAGCTTTTGTGAAGCTTAGCAAAATGCCCTGTGTGTATTGATTTTCTATTTGTTTTAAAGTATCCCAGTAGAAGCCCAACTCAGTAGTACCCCCACTCAGCAGATCCCCAGTTAATTAATACCCCTGTTTAGCAGATCCCAAGCTTATTAGTACCCTGATTCAGCAGATCCCTACTCAGTAGTAACCCCCAACTCTGCTGATCCCCCAATCAGTAGTAACCCCCAGCTCTGCTGTTCCTCTGGTTTGCTGATCCTCCTATCTCTCTGGTCCCCGATAATCTCCCACTCTATTGCTCCTACCACGTTACATCTGATAGTTTCTCCCACTCTGGTCCCCCAGCTCTGTTGAACCTCTGCCACTCAGTCTCCTCTGTCTCCTCTATCCAGTCCCCATTCACCTTCTTCTATGGTGTTCCTATGTTGCACATCACTTGTGTGCAACATAGGAACACCTATGCTAGTTGCTCCATTCCAGTCCAGACCCCACTCACCTTCCTGCTTCTTCACCCGGCACACCAGATGTGATATCTACACCAGACAATTCCAGAATATATACACATAAACTGGAAGTGACTGCTGATGATGTCTTTCTGGTTCACTTGGTTTCACAGTGCATCCTGGGATATCTCATACCTGCAATACCTCCAAAACAAAGTGAAACTAAAGCTGAATAAAAGCCCCTCAAAAGTTTCAGGTGATCTAAGCAAGCTTTGTCATAGACTTCTATGGAAGCATTGGAGATGCTTTGAAACACCAAGAAAGCGACATGGGGTATAATTTTTGAAGATAAGCAAACCAAGCACAATGGGGTTGATTTACTAACAGTAAATATACTGTGCACTGCAAGTTGCTTTAGATCTGAGGGGAAGCTCTACTGATTTCTTTCATCCAACCATGTGCAAGCAAAAATGCTGTTTTTTATCTGCCTTGCATGTGCCCCTCAGATCTAGAACAACTGAACTTTCAATGCATTTGCAGTGCACAGTCTATTTGCCTTTAGTGAATCAACCCCAATGTGTGAACAGTACTGCAAGCTTACCATTTTATTTAGGGACAGATGCTTTGACTGGCATTCATTCATTAAAAGTATGTCCAATGCTACATTTTCAAACAAGTGTAAAGGAGCCCTTAGAGCAGTGGTTCTCAACCTTCCTAATGCCGTGACCCTTTAATACAGTTCCTCATGTTGTGGTGACCCCCAACCATAAAATTATTTACCCAGTAATTATAATTCATGAGTGTCGTTTTACCTCCAATACTGCTGCTTTCAACACAGTAGCTGCTTTTAACAGAGTAGCTGCTTTCAACACAGCAGCTGCTTTCTACACAGTAGCTGCTCTTTACACATCGGAAATATGTATTTTTCTGATGGTCTTAGGGGACCCCTGTGAAAGGGTCATTCGACCCCCAAAGGGGTCACGACCCACAGGTTGAGAACCACTGCCTTAGAGAGAGGTACCTGTCAAGGAGGGAAAGTATAGGTTTCTCCTTACAGGATGTCTTCTCTGTCAGCTTCCTGGAACACTCCCAGTGCTTTGTGGATAAACAGTGCCGTTTTCTGGCTCAAAAAATGTATGACCTGCAACATATGTGGTGCCATTGGTGTAAATTGCCCTCTTTCTATGAGCAGTCAATTTCTACTATATAGGCAGAGCCGGGGCAGACTGACAACTCATGGGGCCCCCCGGGCAACAGGGGATCATGGGGCCCTTGTGTCCTTGCCCAAACTCAAAAAAGCCTATGAAGAAGGTACCAGGGGCATCTCATGGGGCCCCCTACTGACCCCGGGCCCTCGGGCAGTGCCCGAGTTTCCAAATGGTCAGTCTGCCCCTGAGGCAGAATTTAAGTATCCACATGTGTTTACTCAATTCTCCTACACTGATTGGGCCCTGCCTACACTCGCAAACAACTTTCACCTAGGATTTAGTATGATACAGTATAACATACACAAAAACATGTCTATATCTATCTATCTATCTATCTATCTATCTATCTATCTATCTATCTATCTATCTATCTATCTGTCTATCGAATCAAAAGTTGATCAATCAATATGGTCATCAGTAGTGAAATTGATGAGGGACTATGGTTGTGAATCATGTGACAAATAAAACCCCACCTTTGATTGGATACAGCTACCCATACAGACATTTTTACAGGAATAGCTATATCTGTGTATGTCATACTCCAGGCTTGAAAAATAACCAGCTGTGGCTGAAAACATTGCATTATGGAGTGACACTTTATTTGATGGATTTA